TTCTAGTGCTGGAATGGCAAGATGTAAAGTCAAGCCCTTTTCAGATGAAAATGTGTCAGCGTACGAGAGAAGATATGCAAATCATCCAACATGCATCCATTCAGCGGCCGACAGCTGTAGGAAATCAATCTTGGTGCATTTTGTCAAATTATGCTCCTGTCGACCCATCTCGTATACAAATGTATCAACATGTTATACCAAACATTCAGATATAATGAGCACATAGTAGATATCAAGACCAAACTTACATCCTTATTTGTTTTAGCGTGGTTAAGCATTATGAATGTTGATGACCACCAAACTTTCATGTTGATCAAGAGTTGAGTGGGCCGAGACACTCCTGCCTTAATATGAACGTTCCTGTAGAGGTCCTTTCATTTTGCGGATGACCGTTGCTGAAGGGGTTCAAGATATGATACGGAGATAGTAGATACTTCAACATACCTTGATACAAATAGTACGGATGAGCCCAATTTTGTCACAATTGCCAATGTGTTGTGATGTGTTGGGTTCATGACCTTTCGGATCATGAGGGCTGTAATGGGGGCTTTACTGTATGTGCTGAGGAAGGTCTGTGTCACGAGGTTGATAATGTGAGCTAAGCAACTATGAAAACCATGGTTTAGCAGTAGAACTCATTAAGTAAATAACAACGATGACATACTTAATCCTTCGCTGGCGCCACGGAAACATTTTAGCGTATCTCACTTCATACACCCGTGCAAATTCTTCTAGTGTAGTCCCATTGTTCGAGGCATTATCACATGTGATGTGGCCAAGCTAAAGAGATATCAGAACAATGATGTGCTGTCATATAAATTGACCGACCTTTTGCGTGACACCAATCCAATCAAGAATCTTGAATAATGCACCACCAAGGTGTTTACCATTGTGAGCATTGTTCACCTTTGTGAATCCAAACAACGCATTCTGGCATTCCCACTGTCCTGGATTGTTTTCTTTGATCCAATGGCCAGTCATGGCAAAATATCCATCAGTGTTGCTGGCCTGCCATGCATCACATGTGATATTGATAGCCCCACTGACAGAAGCGCTCTGAGTATATCAGATCAGTCAATATCAGATGGTGTTGAGGATTGTACTTACATTAAGTTTCTTCTTGAGTCGAGCTAGATGGTTCTTGAACATTCTCATGATCTCTGCTTGAGTGGCTTTTTGACCCAGGATTTTGACACCTTGGGTTGCACGGGAGGCAACATCCACCATCTCCTTGAACCTTGGATGTTTGAGAGCCTGAATTGGCTTGTAGATAATTATCATTAGCATAGTGTAGTAGTAGTTTATGATACTATCATACCTGGTCTGTTGTGATGAGCCACTCAATTGCAGCTTTTCAAAACAACTAGTCAGAGTAAGGGATGACCCATTCTGAAATCTTGTGCTCTGTCACATGTGCATCAATGGTTTGCTGTGCTTGCCTGACCTTCTTTTTTTTAGCAGCAACATCACCAGGCAATTTTGACGTAAAGGAATTGGCCTTGGCCCATTTCCTATATTTCCCCGCAAATCGAGCTTCGGCATGTCGATGTAGTGTAGTTGGCTTGTTCACAATGATAAAGTCACCCCTGCAAGTAGAACATGTAAGGTTTATAATAACACAAAGGTGAGACAACATACATGCAAACTGTGCATTTATGATGCTTTTTCACTATTCCACTAGCACTGGTGTGCTCAAAAGGTTTACCAAAAAATCTATCAAGGTCATAGGTCTTGTCCTCTTGTGAGGGACCAGGGTCAGTAATTGGCTGGACATCAATATTGGCAAGAATTCTGTCCTCATCAACATCTTCTCGAACCATTACAGTGGCTTGACGGACCCATTGTGCTGTTTTCAAATGAGCAAAACAGATACATTAACAAAAGCAAAGGAACTCACATTTGGGATTTGTACAGGAATTTTCATGCTCATCATCACCATCTTCTGTTACAGTGGCTTGATGGACTTGTTTTTCTGTTTTCAAATTAACACAAATACATTTACAGATGTGAAGGAACTCACATTTTGGACAGGCATTTTCATGCTTGTTATCACTGTTTTCAATGTCAGTGTCAAAAATCCCTTCACTCCATACCCTTTTTCTGTTCTCGGGAGCAGGAAAATTTTTGGTTTGGTCAGCAGCAACTAGTTGGCATTCAGTGGCAAGTTTTGCAGCTTCAGCAGCACGGAAGTCGTTGATTGCTTTTGTTTGGGAAGGGAGGGCCGCCTTCTCTGAATGCTGGAGAAGTGCAGCTGTATGTTTTGTTTTGCGGACTGGGTGCGCAAAAATGCGAAGTTCATCTTCATTGTCTGTGTGGATTGTGCTGACCATCAGAGACTAGTACGAGGCAGGGACATAATATGGTGAAAAATATCAATTGGGGGTGCATGACACTGTAATGAGCAAGTACTTAGTAAACTAGGATACTACACACATAAAAAATTAGCGGATCATAGAAATAAAGATTTGAAATATAGACAAGCACGAGCCGATGTCAAAGTGTTGCTCACTTGTCCCACTTTTGGATGTGCTCGCACTCTGAGAATCACTCTCCCCTCATATCCATCTTGGATCCTTTGGCCTTCGACATGCTGGACTCTAGCACCAAAAATACACTCAGTGAGAGAGTTGCGAGGGAGTAGGGATTGACAGGCAAATGATTTGCTAACAAATAGTAACAATAAATATACCTATGACACAAAAGTTAGTTATAATGATTCACGGATATTGTGACTCACCAAGTTTTCTGATATGATAGTGATGTAGTCCAAAGGGGAGTTCCAAGAAACAAATTGGTAACTGTGCTGACTAAGTATGCAAAGCCATGGCCTGGGCCACCGGCTTTGGCTTTTCAGTACCTCAGGCCAGGCCAAAGCCATGGTCAGGCCATGATCCCCAGTAAAAACCCACTATGGTGTGGCACGATGAGAACAGGCATGATATGTTTTTTTTCTCACCTACGCAAAAAATCAGAGACAGACATATGACATTGGTAGGAATCACATATATTGCATGATGGGGCACGATCTCCTCCGACGACATGAGTTTTCTGTTCAATTTTCAAATAAAATCATATAACACCATATAATTTAGTACAGTAGAATACATGGATTGATATGACGGGAAACAACATGCTAAGACAGTGCTTGACATGAGTAGTACTAGGTATCGCGGCAGCATACAGGCAGGTGTAGGGCACGTAGCAGCTTGAACTGCATGGGTAAACCTGTGGGTGTGGGCAGTCGTACTCGCACCTGTACCCGTTTCCATGCGGATATCAACGGGTCACTGTAAAGAATATAGGAAACAATGTGTGTGTGAATCCATCAAAGATAGAGTGAAATATGGGGGAGCACTAAGTAGAGAGTCAGTGTTTGCTAAGAAGGCTCGGAAGACAAGATCATGCACCGTCTGAGAGCATGCCATGACCAGAGCAGAGCACCATCAGCATCCAGTAAGCAGTCCAAAAGATGAGAGCAAGGAGATGCACACTGACAGCCTTTGGTGAAGAAAAGATGACAGAGACCCTCCAATGACTCAGGTGGAACTGGCATGTGCCCATGTGTGCTCTTCGAACACATATACCCACCCTTTTGATTCCTGTTCAAAAAATCAAGCCTGTTTATGAATGATAACAATACTACTTACACGTATAGCCTTGGGAGACAAAAGAATTGGTGTGGGGAGGCTCCATAAAAAATGATGATAGTACAGAGGGAGACGACATTGTAGTAGTAAGAAGATAAGATGAAAATGACCAAGTTGTACAACTCAAATACAATGTTAATGATGATGTCATGCCACACCATCACACATTGTGTGAGAGTTCTGCAAATACAATGCAATGTGCATGCTGAAGATGAGGAATCTAAACTGTGGGGAAAGTTGGTGCTAAGCTAAGCAAGCACAGATAGAACCGGGTGTGAGTGAAATCGTTGTCCCAAGGGCAGCTAACTGAGTAAAGGAAACCTCTCTTTGTAAAAAAAGTGGGACACCAAACAACTAATAAAGTAATAGGGCTGAGTAATGCATGAAGCAGAAACAATGTAATATATGGAAGGCGAATGCGCGCGATGACACGTGAGTGCGAAAGGCGAAGGTCGAGGTGTGCGACGCGAAGGTAGCGCGCACAAGCAAAGGCAAGAGACAAGCAAGCGAGAGAAGCAAGAGAAAGACAAGACAACACAAGTGTTAACACCCCAACTAAGGTTGGCTGATGCTAAGATGGAGACTGTGAACCGAAGTGTGCGACTTTAAATAGTCACTTGCCAACAATGACTAAAATTCTTAGTATCTAGAGACACACAGAAAGTGGGCGGAAAATCGACCTTGAAAATAGAGTAAAGAGATAGTATATGTAAAGATGGCTAGGCGCATAGGTCTGATGTAGCAAGCCAAGTAAGCTAAATAAGTACACAAGATAGGTAATAGGGTCTCGGCTGCGCGTGTAGTGCTAGGCCAAGATTTAGCAATGAAAACAATTAGTCAAAATGGGAATATAGTAAGAACACGCACCAATGGACATCTGAGGACATGGGGAGGACAGATGGACAAGTATGCGGACGATGCTAACACAGATGCGCAGTGCATGCGAAGTGCGAGTGGCTGCACATGGAATCTGCAAAGTAAAATATATGAAGTGCTACTGTGCAAGATGTATCCTTGGGATTAGAGCTGGAGTGTGTAGGGAATGTGGGAGAATTTGAGGGAAGTGCCTGTGGAGACACGAGGCTCTACAACAGCAGGAGACCTTAAAATCTGACTGTCCCCAGTCAGCGCGCGCACACGTTCGTGCAAATGGACTTAGAGAAATTTCGACGAGAGGTGTCATGTGATTGCGGTCCATATTCCAAAAACAAAGCGCCGGCAATTGGCCTCGTGACCTCGGGAATCATCATGAATGCTGACATAATTGTGGTTAGCGCATTTAAAAGAGCACTACATGGCAACACGTTGTTCTATCATCTTTCGCATTAACCGTGATCATCCTTTTTTTTTATCATGTCAAACTTTGACTTATCTTTACTCGACCCTCCGCACTTGCCTTTGCCTGAGGCTCAGGCGCCTGTCGAGGCTGCACCGGCGCAGGAAATTCCTGAGCCTGTGCCTGTCGTTGAATCTGAGGATGACCGTGTACTCCACATCTGGAACGCGCTGTTGCCGTCGGTCTGGAGGACATTGAGTCGTGGCTCCGTGAGTGGGCGCATTTTGAGGTGAGTGGCACACATCTTCGCGTGTAATGTGTTTCATTGATTGATTGGACTCATCTTTAGGCCAATGTGCACGTCTGCATGCGCAACACGCTGAAGGCTGAGACATTGCTCCCCATCAGAGATGAGGAGAAGGAGGACTTGAGGGATTTGAATAAGTGGGTAGCAGTGGCGCGGAAGACGGTAAGCGGGTGGAAAGAAGTGGTGGAGGTGATCATGGCAGAAGCATGTGCAGCTCACACAGATAAGGAGAAAGGGGAGGGAAAGGAGAGGGAGGAGAACCCAGACATGAGTAAGCCTGTAGGTATTTTTCTTCCTTTTCTGTCGCATCTGGCTGACTCTTGATTTGCATTGACAGAAGGCTGGCAGGCGTATGTCGACCAGCCCCAAGACGCTCGACCCTCCTTGCGAGAACTGCGTCCAGTGCGGCGTAAAATGCTTGCAGGGCAAGAACGCACGCTGTGGTCCTTGTGAGTGCTCGCACAGAGCGTGCAACTTTGGTAAGTTGTCTTTCTGTTTTTAGCTTTCATGTTCTGATAATCGCTTATAGCTACCAAATGCAAGGCACCTGAGGCTGCTGGGCCTGCGCACAAAGTATGTTGCATGGCCGAAGAACGTGCGCCGATGGTAGAGCTGACCACGGCCGATGACGCCGACGACTCTGGCGAGTCTAAGGTTGAGGTCGTGGAGGTGCCGAAGAAAGCATGTCCTGTGCCCAGGCCGGTGAAGCCATTGCCTGAGCGCCCTGTCGCTGGGCCTTTGAGGGTTTGCGTGGATGATTTGGAGCTCGAGTGCCTGAGCGCTGACAACGAGCGTCTTTGGGTGGAGGTCGACAGGTTGCACACCTCACAGGAGGACTACGACCATTTCGTGTGGAACCTCAACTACCAGGCCCGCAAACACCAGCAAGAGCTCATCGCGATGAGCAATTGTCTCTACTTATTTTTGGATGAATGGAGGGTGATGGGGCAGGAGATGGATGACTTCATTGTGGGGCAGGAGCAGGCGCGGAAGTAGATAGACTCTTACTATACTCTTTTCTTTTTCTTCTCTGCGCGCCGCCTTTTCGCCTATACTGTACTCTGTGTCGCCTCATGCGCTTGCGCGCTGTACTATACTGTTTCTTTCCATGCTGTACAAATATAGTCGTTTCGTGTTGCACCTATTATGAGTCTGCATGATCTTCACCTAAGTCCTAGTCCGAGTCCATGTCCATGTCCAGAGAGTCCATTGGGCCTGGATTTAGATGAAATAGTACTTGTGAGTGAACATGGTATAGTTAGAATAAAAAGGAAGGATAATTAGCGATATACGTGTGATAGCACGAGCTTCACGCTCGACTTGTCTTCTTCATGTGACTGTCTGCATCTATTCCTGCTGTGAGTGATTATAGTGATCGGGTATAGTCTAAAAATGTGTGTGGCACGGCTTCGTGCATTCGAAAATAGAAGGTCTATGTGGATGGTTATGTGCACGCATGTCAATTAGGAGAACTTATCTGTATATACTGTTTTGGGTATTACGTGCGATGCGCGCAATATAATAGAGTCTGTGTTTGTGTTATGTTCAGTGAATGGGCGGATTATATGCGAGAGAGAAACTGAGATCGCCGGACGAAACCTGGGGTAAAACTGAGAGTAAATACTTCTAGCGGGACTGTGTTTTTGTGTTTTCTTTATTTTTGCGATGTCTTTGTTATTGTGATTGCGGAATGATATGTACAAGTGCGGGTGTCAAGAGTTTGAGGATGTGGGGGTGTGGATATGAGAGTACGCAATGAGCGAGCCTCTGTGCGCTATTTGTCTTGCACGTGCTCGGGTTTGTCTTCATTGGGTTCTATAGTTTCCTTAGCCTCTAAATGGTCTATACTTTTGTCATCTATTCCGATCATCTTCATCGGCTCCTTGAGAAACCGTCGACACCTTTGTACTTGGTCGCAGAAACATGAACGAGTTTGAATGAAAATAATAGAATGCCCGTGATCCATCAATTGATGGTTGCATTAGGTTGCAAATCCGGATTATTGATCATACCTTTGATATATTTCGCATCAACTTCGACGGTGAGATTCTTGACTCCAAAAATGAATACGCGAAGCACGCGAAATAGTCTGTAGAGTTCTAGCTTCGCTTGCGAGTATCGGCTTTCCACCTTGTTCAACACTATGCTGCCAAAACGATTAGGATATTGCTTGCCATCTGCGCCTACTTGCAGCAGAATAAACCCTGATTGCGATGTTGGACGTGTCAACGGCGAGGATGCCTTCATGCTCACTCTCATAATCGAGGCGGCAAAGAGAGGGAGACTCTAATGCTGAGTCCTTGAGCATCTGATATGATTCACGTTCTTCAGGTCTGAAGACAAACGGAACATCTTTCCTGGTAAGATTAGTTAGTGGGCACACTTTGCGTGCGAAATCGCGGATGAAAATGCAAAGAACACTGCAGGTTCCCAAGAAACCACGGACTTGCAATTGGTTAGTAGGTTCTGGCCAATCTTGTATCTTCTGGACCTTAGTGTCTTCGGGTACGCGACCCTCGAAGGTACACTTATGCCCAACGATGACTGCGCTTGGCATGGCGAGAATGAATTTTGTCGCGCTAACTGTAATGCTGCCGTTTTCGAGCTGCTGCAGGATGTGATGCATGACAGTTAGGTGTTCCCAGATGAAGCGACACATGCCGGGATTTTTGGGTATGGTCTCATAAGTACCGTCTGCAAGTTCATATCGCGTCTCGACGGATTTGACTCTTCATCTCTCTGAAACACAAGATGTGTGCCATTGAGCACTTGCAACCTTGAGACCTCTTCTTGTGTAATGGGGAAGACCTGGATAGACTCCAGGGCAGGGTGTGGTGTGGTTGAGTCCAGCTCCAGTATCAGAGCTGCGAGCACATTTGTGGTGTCAACTAGCAATAGATGACACAGTTCTGGTATAGAAACGAGAGGCCTAAATGCATTTATGGGTGCAACAACCCTGTGCAGCAACAACCACTGCAGTTTAGGAAATGGCACAGAGCTTCTGGGTATGGCTAAGGGGTGCTCACTGAAGCCAGTTGCACAGTAGTTCAGGAGATGTTTGGTGTTCCCCACTGAACCACAACTGGGGAGTGGGTGGAGGGTAAGTAGATCCTCAATCGAAAGTGTGACAAGGTTTGGGGCATCGAGGCGACTGAGCAGCACCTCCGTATAAGCCATATCGCTGAATCCGAAGTGAAATTCCTTGATATTGGGAAGTGATATGGCATCGTTGTGTTCAAATAAACTAAAAAGGATGGGCCCAGAGTCCATGATTACAAGCCTTTGCAGCAGGGGACACACTTTCAGGATTGCTTCAAACAGACCAAACTTTGGTCTGAGTCCTACATCGTGGTTGGAAAGCTCCAGTGACTAAATGCAGTGACCCACACTGAGAGTACAAAGAAAACCTGCCCAGTTTAATGGAACACCGGATATATCCATGTGTCGCAGTTTTGGGAGGGGGTGAGATGGTGCAGGGACTTGTGTGAGGATGTCTTGATCAGATGTGCCAGTCAAGGTGGCAAAAGGAAGACTATTGAGCTCTAGAGGCGGAAGGTATGGTTGATAATGAGCTCTGTAGTAGTCATTGGATCACTTAAACTTCAGAAACTCGAGGCATGGAGCCCCTGAATTATCTCCAGTTGCAGTGCGCATGCTAAGAACTCGAAGAGTGGAGAAGAGCAGCTTCAAAGTATCGCTGATGACTTCCAGCAAGTGTCATCATTGATTCTGGGGGCAGAATTATTGTCTGGTATTTGCCTGGAGCCATGACCAGCATGATAATGGTCTGTCATCTATTGGCATTCATTGTGTATTTCATCTCATCCGGGTGTATCCAGACAGATATGCATTGTGCTACAAACTCCATGGGCAATTTACTGAACAATAGCATCATGACCAGCAAGCCTACTGAATGGCGGACTCACAAGTTCAATTTCTATCCAAGTTTGGATGAGAAGATCACCCCCGGTTGCATCAATATATCTCCGGCTTGGTTTCAGCAAGGAAGAGAGGTACATCCTGTTCATATGAATTCAGGTTACCCATCTGAAGTGTCATAGAAATACAGTTTCCCAAATTTTGATCCAGAAGATGGTTTCTCACCTGATGTATCAGCCACATTAAAGGGAGTTAATGGTCACAATATCACGACCTCCCTCCAAAGGTCCGGTATCCTTGTCTCTGCTGCACTTCATGTCATGCATCCGGATCTCTATCTTGCCGGAATTCAAACCCAAGTCAGACTGGGTGAATGGGCGAGCCAGTATGAGTTGCATGATATGTGCTATCATCTACAACATTGGATATCTGTTTTCAATGTGGTGTCAGTCATTTGCAATCGTCGGTCACCACCTCATAGAGATCCAAAATGTTGACCAGAGGCATTTGATATCATGACCACCGCAGGTATTTACCATCCGGTCATCATGGATTTCATTAATCTTGGGATAAAATTCTTATATAATTCCAGGTCAATGTTGGCCTCATCGTGTCGGCTTGTGAGACATCATATGCACGTGGAGGAGGGCAACCGGATTGTCACTGCATGGTACATGTGAGATAGTATCCTTAACTTTGTTGGAACTCTGAGAACAGAGTACGCAAAATATGGCAATGTGAAATACAGTGACCCGGTCGAGCAGAGTGCCTCTGTGTAGAGACGTTATTGTACACATTGTATACAAATTTTAGACAGATGGCCCCTTGAGTACCTACCTGATCTATACTACATACTCTCATAGAGACCGGATGATAACTTTGACCAGATGTCCAGTGTCACATACTCCGGCCCACCTGTTCGCCTTGGGTACACACATACTCCGGCCCACCTGTTTGCCTCAAGTACACACATACTCCAGCCCACCTGTCCTTGAGTACACACATAACCTGGCCCACCTGTTCGCCCTGGGTACACACTTGTCTATGGCTCACCCATTGGCCCTGGGTAAACATTATGTCGGCCCACCCAATTGCACTGGATACACACATTCACCTGGCCCACACGTTCATCAGGCCCATCTGTGTGTAAGTTGGGTACACACATCTGCCCTGTCCACCCATTTGACCCGTTACACACATCTGTCCGGTCAACATGCATACCCAGCCCATCCCTGTGCGAGTCCACATCTGTCCAGCCAACCTGCATATCTGGCCCATCCATTTCCTTGTATGCATTTGGCCCATTCCTCTCTGGAAATCAGCCTCAGCCCATCCGTGTGAGGTGGGTACACATCCATCCAGCCCACTCACTTTATACCCTCGGCCCACCTGTTTGCCCTGGGTACACGCATTCCTCTGGCCCACCTGTTTGCCCTGGGTACACACATTACTCTGGCCCACCCATTCTCATTGGTTACACACGTCTGCCTGGCCCATCCATGTAAGGTGGGTACATACATACATCCGGCCCACCTGCATACCCAGCCCACCTGTTTGCCATGGGTACACACAATTCCCCAGCCCATCCGTGTAAGGCGAGTACATACATATGTCCAGCCCATCCATTTGCCCTGGTTTACACACATCCGGTCATCCAACCTGCATACCTGGCCCATTCATTTCCTCATATATGCATCTGGCCCATTGCTCTCCAAAACCAGCCTCAGCCCATCTGTGTAAGGTGGGTACACATCCGTCTGGCCAACCCACTTTATACCCTCAGCCCACCCGTTCACCCTGGGTACACACATTCCTCTGGCCCATCTGTTTCCCTCAGGTGCACCTGACCCATTCTTCTCCGGTAATCAGCCTTGGCCCATCCATATGAGGTGGGTACACACATCCATCCGGACAACCTGTATACCCGGCCCATCTGTTTCCTCCTCTGTGCCTGGCCCATTCCTCTCCGGTAACTGGCCTCGGCCCATTCCTGTCATGTGGGTACATGCATTCCTCCGGCCCACCCGTCTCCACTGCACACCATATTCATTACATATAATGTCCTAATTCCCTCGGCCTACCTGTCTCCATTGTAAGACTGGATTCACCATAATGTCACATTCCTATACTACTGTCTGTATTATATACCCCCAGCCCATCCATTTGTCTTGGATACACCTAGGCAACTGCGTGGGTATGGGTAACCCGTACAGGTGGTAGGGGTACACCTGGAGTATGGGTGGGGGTTGCCTTTTACGGCACCCGTACCTATACCCATACCCACACACAGGTTAGACCATCAAAACACAATATATTGCTACCTAATCAAGATATAGTACCTACATCAAACCAAACCAAACTTTAAAGAAGCCACAACTGTTGAAAAAATCTTTTGGTCCTGTCATCCTAAGCATACCTGTCCTAGACTGCTACCTCACATCCAGCCATGCAACCAAACATATTTACTGCAGCTGTAAAACAAGTCACAAAACTCACGGACAAGGCTAAAGCGGCACTTGAAGAGAGACTTGAAGCTTCCGGACCGTCAAAGAAGCGCATGATTGATGCAAATGGTGCAAGTGCGGTCTCCAACAAGTCGAAGAAGGCAAAACAAAATCCTCCTGCAGATATATCCAAAGATAGACTGGTAGCCGAGGCCTCTCCACCTCCATCTGATGTGAGAACGGCAGCAGAGCCTCGTAAGATTTGCTGTGTCATTGTTCGCACCGAGGAAGAGGAAGAAGCATTGTATAACAATGCCATTGTCATTGATGACATGAGTGAGAAAAGTGGAGATGAGGCTGGTAGCGAGGCTTCAGGTCCAGAAAGTGCCGAGGACGAGCGAAGTATGTTCCTGCTATACAAACATAGCACCACTGATTAGCAACAGCGAGGCTCATGAAAGAATGGGTATCACCTGTTTATGCATTCTTTGACCCAACTCCCCGCATCACTGAAGTTGGTGGTCGACGTGCACATGAATTCAAGTGCTGTGCGAAAGGATGCAAGGTGACAATCCGACAATTCCTGGACAAAAAGGATGCGCGATTGACAGGGAACATGCGCAAACATGTAAAATCTTGCTGGGGGGAAGATGCACTCAATGCTGCAGACAATGCCAAAGATGCAGATGAAGTGCGAGCAAAAATTGTCGGAAGTATCCTAAAAAAACGGGTCAATTGTGGCATCTTTCGAATGGAAAGGAAAGGGGAAATTGACTTACTCGCTTTGTCAGCACACACGTAGAGAAACAAGGTGAGGTCTTGATGTTGTTGCTGATGGCACCTAAGCCTAAATTGTCTTCTTCCAGGGCAGAGATGGTGTGTTGGGTTTCGGAGAGCCTGCGTCCGTTTGAGATAGTCAAGGATTGGGGATTTCAATCATTGATGAAGACCGGAAGGCCAGAGTATTACATACCTTCGCCATCCACAATTTCACGTGATGTTCGACTTGTGTTCGCTCGGACTCATCAACGAGTTGCTAAAATGTTACAAGTTAGTTCAAATCACGCACTTTGAAATATTCAAATGAAAAACCTCACCAGGAATATGATGGCAAGATAAATTTTACAACGGATGCTTGGAGTTCGCCAAACCATCGAGCATTTGTGGTGTTCTCGGTGCACCTCGAGCACAAGGGCATACCACTAAGCCTACCATTAGATATAATTGAAGTAGCTAAGGTGAGAAACTTACCTTGTTAGAGCCGCAGCAGCTAATGCTATGTTAGTCTGCAGATCCCTAGGTACACACATGACCTCGGCCCACCCATGTATCATGGTACAATTATTGGCATGGGCCCACATGGGATAGCCTGTCCCCATTGGTACATTGTCACGTTTGGCTGCCCATCTGAGATGGGTGAATTCACTGAAGGGGCTCATTTCTTATATTTATTGACATATTGTCTGTGGGAATATGGTTGCAGATGCTTGATATTTTGGATGACACATAAAACACTGGCAAATTTTGATGTTCTGTACCTAGTTTTATGTTAGTTTAAATTTCAAATATTTTCTTTGCATTTCATACAACATATAATCCTAATAATCCTAAATATCGATAACCCCGATGTGATAGGAATGCCTTCAGGCTTAATTAAGTGGTTCTTCGACAACATGAGGCCACTTTACTAACTGGGATATGTGGGAATAATAGGTGACCGTTTGAGGTTTTCACCCGTTCTGCGGTCGCTGCAGGTATTGAATGTCCTTACATGGAAGTGGCCATCATGCGCGAAGTGCTTACATCTTGGTTTGGGACTGCGAAGGAGCGGAAGGGTGTGTTCTCGGCCTCATCAAAGTTTGTCAAATTTTTGGCTTTCTGAATTCGATGATTGATAGCCCACACTTGCGTTGATCCCTTCTACCACCCCATCAACTACAGTCCCACTGATAAGGACGAAATCGATCGAGCAACGACTCATGCTCGTCGGCTACTCATGCCGCATACCTTGGTTCTACAGATGTTATTCAGTCGGCTGAAAGCGGCTAGATATTGTCGTTCGACCGTGATGTTTCTCATCCAAAGACTTGTTTTGCGATCTGCGCGAGCGCACAAGTCAGTTCAGTGCATTCATCAGGTTAACTATTCGAAGCCATATTAACAAATTGTCCAGTACTCATCCGCTGGCTCGAGAGTTACACTACACGTTCCTTCTTTTTGGACTGGAGACATTGAAGAGCTCGCATCTAGATGCTGCCTGTGAGTGTATGCTGCGGGAAAGTCTGTATTGTACGGCGTGTTCGTGGTTTGCTGTTCGGCCACAGTCAGTATAATTCCCAGATATCAGTATTTGTGCGAAAACTTATGCTGTCCAGGTGGTCTTTTCGAGCAAATCGAGTGCAGGGTGACGCTGACATTAAAGTCATGTCCGAATTTCTTGTGCATCTCCAGGGTAACTCGATCGGGAATATGTAAAAGACGTCCCGTGAGCATAGCGAACATTTTTTTTCCTTCGCATTGAACTAATTGGTTATAGTTAATGTCGCGCATCTCAAGAACATCGACCAGCCACTACGTCTTCTGATAGAGAATGAGATGTTCAGGCTTACGGTCTGGGCTAATCCTAGCGAAACGAGGCAGTGACCCCCATGGTTCGATCGAGTGCAATATGCTTGAGGTAAGTACCTTTTTGGTTCAGAGAATGGTGATTTATGTATTCCAATAGTCGACTTGGCTTGGCGTAGTCCGAACAGCGTGGGAAGTAGACCCAGCCATAACGGTCTATCTAACAGAACGATTCAAAAGCCCAGTAGCTCACGCTGAGGTGCAGAATCTGGTTTGGTCCAACCCTGACAGGGTAGTCGATACTCTCGAAGCTCTAATATTTTTGACGAGAGTTCAAGGTGCTTTCTGTTCTGCGGTGTTATGCTTGGAGAGTTTACGTTTTTGTCAGTATATCATTGTTTGGGCGCCCGTCACTCCTGTGATCGCTGTTACTTTCTTCGAGCGACGACACGGCAACGATCCGTTCCTCCTACAATACGCCCATCGAGTCCTGAAGCAGCATCCTGTCGACCTGACGTTCTTTTTCGTCCCGCAAGTGGTCCAGGCCCTTCGCTTTGATGACCTTGGTGTGTATTTGGAACCTCCTGTTGTTATTGTTGCTGAATGTATATTTTAGGATATATCGCACAGCCCATCTTAGAAATCGCAAGGGTGTCTCAATTCTTTTGCCACCAGATCGTATGGAACATGAAGGCCAATTGCTTCTGATGCAGCCGAGATCGTGAGTTTGATGCATGTTTTCGTCTCTGCTTCACTGACACGAGATTAGGAAGATCCTATGAAACTTGCACTAGATCGGATGACTGATATGGTGGTGGATTCGCTGTCTGGTGACACCCGTGCCTTTTACGATCGGGAATTCGGATTCTTCGAAAAGGTAACCTCGATCTCTGGGAAACTGAAGCCCTTCATCAAAAAGTTGAAATCCGAGAAGAAGGTGAGACCCTCGCAATTAGTCCCAGGATATGATTTGACCTGTCTTTGCAGGCAATGATCGACGAAGAGATGGCCAAGATAGTTGTCGATGTTGGAGTCCACCTTTTCAGTAACCCAGACGGTAGTGTCATTGACATCGATAATAAGTCCGGTCAACCGCTTCAAAGCCACGCTAAGGTATGTAAATCACTCTTTGCGCCTATTTTTTGCTGAATACAATTTTACCGAAGGCACCGTTCATGGCTACTTTTAAAATTTTAAAGTAAGGAAGGAGCGAATCATTATTAATTCCGACCCAGAATCTCTTTTAGACGGCGCACTCGAGAAACGCGAGGAATATGACGTTTGGCAACAGGCCATCTTCAAAGTTGGTGACGACTGCCGAGTCCCGACAAGATGTGTTGGCTTTACAGATCATCGCGATGTTCAAAAACATCTTCACCAGCATTGGGTTGACCCTCTATCTTTTTCCTTACAGGGTTACCGCAACTGCTGCTGGAGTGAGTACCTTTTATTTTTCGTTCACGCTGGACCACGCTCATATACTTCATAGTGCGGTGTCATTGACGTGGTGCCGAAGGCTACATCTCGAGATGAGATGGGAAGAGCCACAGTAAACGAACTGCTTGACTTCTTTATTTCAAAATATGGTGGAGAAGAGACCGTTGCATTCCAGCGTGCTCGCATCAATTTCGTCCAGACCATGGCCGCGTTACATCCTGCAAATCAAGGATCGTCACAATGGGAATATTATTATTGATGGCGAAGGGCATATCGTACATATCGGTAAGTTTTACCTGCCTAAGAGTACAGCAACTGGCATTGAACTTGATTCCAGACTTTGGATTCCTGTTCGATATAGATGAGTTTTTCATTTCACCACCGCTGACTTGCTTACTGACTTTGTTCTTGGTGTCTCTCTACGTCCTGGAGTAAGTCCCTATCACGATACCTTGAGCAATTCTCTGATTACACTTTGCAGGGAGTCAAGTTTGAACCTAGCTCCTTCAAGCTAACCCATTACGCGATCTAGCCTGACTGTGACGAGCGTCTGCGGTTCATATTATGCCTATCAGACTGATGGCGAACAGGGCTATTGCTGACTTTGGCCTTTCTTTGATGTACTCCGAGTTCATAAGCGCCTCCCAGGCATCCTGGACGTCCGCAATCAAAGGAAACATGCGATGGATGGCCCCTGAGCTACTCGTCGAGCGGGAGAATGGCTCTCAAGTTCGGCCAAGCGAGCAGAGCGACATGTATTCGTTTGGCGGTATCATGCTGCAGGTACGTCTGGGTTAATTTTAGCCTCTCGTTAATATGAAAAGCTCTACTCGTAGGTCCTCACTAACAAAGCACCCTATTATCACCTCACGAACGATGCCGCCATCATACTCTGCATAGCTAAGTCGCAAACGCCCTCTCGATCTCGTTATCCTGAGCTCCCTGAGCAATGCTGGCCATTTATCGAGCAATGTTGGTCTACTAATCCTTGGGGCCGTCCTTCGGCGGATGGAGCCGATGAAGTGATTAGGAATGAATTTGACTCGCTGTCCAGGTCTCGTTGATTTCTGACTGCCTCGCATTCAAAACTCTGTTTACAGTACAGCCAGATAAAATAGATCTAGGTACTCGTGTAGGCTCATTCTATGCTCCCTCTTGTGATATTGGAACACGCTTGTGCTATGATGGGGAACGTCGGTTGCAGGATCATCAGAATCCGGAGAATCAAATATTGTCGATTATCCTGTTCACGAATTCTGCGACCAGCATGTCACATGTGAAAGACGGGACGGTAGTTTCTTATTTACTGTGGTGCAGGTTTCACCTTGTGGAGAACTTGACATTGATCGAAATGATGAATTTCTCCAACAGTGTAAGTGGAGACTTTTCGTGGTCATTATCGTGTCACGTCAACCTTATACCATACATCATATGCAGATTCTAGCTGACCGACTCGAAACGTACATGATAGTATTGCTGTCCATAATACATTTATCTCCCGATGTACAGATCAGAAGCTCCCATGATTCTGAGAAATATCCAACACGAGTGAAGCTGGCTGGCGTTTCGAATTCCGTGGAGACTACCGAATTCCTAGCGCTAGAAGCCAACGGCACACTGAAATTTTTTTAACTCGATAACCTCGGTAGGGAAGCTGTTCAAACGATGTTCGAGAATTTTATTACGGCTCGAAAGCGGATTTATTCAAGGTGCGATATCAGATAAGAACGGATACATATGGTAGTAGTCCAGTGCGTCCCCCAGGCTGACAGCACAGAGAAAGTTAGGCCGCGGTCACTAGTCCAGACTGAATCGGATGTCCGGAACACTGTATTTCCCTTTTATGATGGACAAACTCTTTACGAGCTGCTAAAACACGCGCCTGGTATTTGGTGAGTCCTCGAGGGTGCGAAACGTTGATCGTGCGTCGTAAGATATGGCTTTATCGTTTTAGCGATGAAAATAAAGGGCACGCTTTGCATATATTCAATCAAGGTACTCGGCACTCGGTGCCCTGAGTGAAGTTGGAGTTGAGGCAGCCAACAGTCTTTTGTCACCGATATTGAACGTTGAGGAACCTATTAGGATTTAAAACCTTATACGAACCTCCCGCACGGATGATCCAATCCTGCTTAAAGGACTCTTGAATAAGTCGAAGATCAAGAATCACCATGATTATTAACGCTAGGGCTACTCACAGGTCGCAACGCGCTGCGGGTTGAGGGGCCTGAGTCAGAAATCCTTCATATTGCTTTCAAACCAATCAAGCTGACGATTCATCAGGTGAGCGCATCGATGAACATCACATCGCACCATTTGCGATGCTCTGGATCAGTACTTCAGTAGTGAACTCTCGGTCATTACAGCAGTAGTGTAACGTAGCTGCTCTCCTGGAGGCAGCGACGATAGGGAGATATGCTTGATGAACGGCCCTGATGTCATTGGTGAGTTATCGGACATCGATATTTAGTGCGTTCGTACCCTTCACGCCGGCACGACACAACGAAGATCTCCTCCACCTCCGCCTCTTTCTCAATCAACGCGCATGACTGTCTCATGCACCCTGGAGCTGTACAAAGCGAGAAAGAACGATCCAGGCACAGAGCATCCTGTGAGGTAGTAGAAATTAGACTCTTGGCGAAATGGTAGCTCGCGATTTGTGTCGTTTCGGAAAGGCGTGTTTCCTCCTGCAAGAAGAATGACTTGGGGCTAATCGCGTTAATTAATGCTAACATTAGTCTACGGGATATCATATCAGCTACCTTCTCCTTCAACTGTAATGGAAGCACATAGGACTTGTATGAGAATGCTGGATCTGGGTCTAGGTCAGAGGGCGAAGCAGCTGATGATGCTGGCAGTGAGAAGTGAATTAATCGAAGTGTGACATAAATACGTGGGTTACCGGTATCTGTTCTAGCAAGCAAAATTTTGATGGAGCACACAGTCTAATTCTGGTAAGGATGAACCGGCCAGACTCATGGTGACCGTCTGCGTTCTGAACAGATGCGCAGCAAATCCAGCCCACGAAACGAGCGCACCATCCGATATCTGTGGTACGAGGACTTCCTGATGCTCCAGCAGTACCAGTAACTGCAGAAAGTGTCGAGGCAGTGGCAGTTAGAGGCGGCAGTTGTGATGACGCGTCCACAGAAGCTAAGCAAGAAACCGAGGACCCCAAAGCATGAGGGAAGCGCCGACCGAACCCACGCTGGCAAGGGGAGTGGAGGTTCTGCGTCCATAGATAGGGTGGTAGCGTTCAAGGCAAAAGGCATTGTCAGCGAGCGCCCGAGATTAATGGAATATAGTTGATTGCTTCAGAAATTCAGGTACTACATATAGTAGATAACGACAGGTAGGGATCAGCACGCATAAACCCCTGGGTACTGGGGGCCATACCTGCACCCATACCCGCTGCGAGTGGTACTTAGTTAGTGAAACAAACACGAGAAGAACTCAGAATGAAACACACCAAGAATGTCGATCGCGTGACAGTAAAATACCTTACAAGGTTGCAGAGTCGTCCGAGTGTCCGCGCCTACCTTACAAGGAGATCAGGACCGTCCAACCATCCAAGTGTGCTCTTGATATACTTACTTTAGTGTTATACACTCCTTGCTTCAGCCACTCATGTCTGAATGCTCTTTGACCAAAAACGTCCTGATATGATGATTAGAATCACAGCGCACAACATTACAAAGATTGTGCTCACATATTTCCCGTGGATGTGGGCTTGCGAGATCAAGAGTAGCATTATGATAACACATCACAGATGAATCTCATCATTAAAGTTGAGATCACTCACGAGTTCGATGAGCTGACTGCGCACCATATCTTCGACGAGGTCGAGGTTGACAGCCTCTGGATTTGTATCTTGGGTTTCGCCCAAGACAGACATCTACTAAGCATCGTAAGTTCCTGCCAAGCCCAACATGTGCATAATAGCAATGACGCACCATCTGATATGTTTCTCACATGCACTTGTAGTCACGACTGGTGCCATCTGAGGGTCGCCGTTCGGAGTGCAGGCGACCGCATTCCCGAACCCTAATGCATGGGTCTGCATTAATGTTACACTAGTTTGGTGTACAGACCTTACCGCTTGTTCGCAGAGTTGAGATTTCTTTGTCCGAACGTTTTTGAACTGAAATTGTTCAGTTTGTAAGCATCATGACAGTGCCGCGCAACCACACTGTGACGTACCTTGCGAAAACCAAACGATGGCACGGACAAGAGCCGGGCCCTGAGCTTAGATGCTGGACGAAGTATAGCGCTTTTAGAGGATTGGGAAGGTTCATGTAGGCGCGCAGGGATGTGCTAGAGGGCCGCAATGGAATGCGAGAGTACAGACTATGGTTGGATGGTAGATTGAGTAGTGCTAGAGGCCGTGCGCATTATGATTTTGTTCAAATTACTTCAAGTTGAACTTCGCGCGTCAGTTGTTTTTCTAATATTAGGGACATTCAAAGTTGGGCGCCCACGCCCACGACCCCCCCTTGCCCATATACCACTTCCCGTTTTGTACTTGAACGAATGTATTATATAATCAATGATAAATGACAACACTCAACACTACTGTATAGTTTCGACACTAGGTTCGTCACGCGTCACAGCCTCTGTTGAATCGAACCTATTTGGTGTGACCGTCGTGCAAATTTTTGGAAGGTGAAGCTAAATTGTGACATGTGGTAAAAATGGAAAAAAAAAACATACATATTACTCTAATGGGTCCAGAAGTCATTGTACATCTTGTTTGTGATCCGTCTATGCTTTCCATGCCCCTGTTCAGCATTCCTGACACTGCCCTCTATACCTAGATCAGTACTATCTTCACCGACATTATAGATTTCTGAGTGGTTCATAGAGGACAGACCACCGTCCACGGCATGCATGCCCCCCGATGCAAGGTAACACAGGCAAGTACCAGGCATGACGAGAATGTGATGGTGTTCGAGTCGAGTTTGCAATCAAGTGAAGCAGGAAGATTAATGTCAAGGAGTTGTGTGATGGACAGAGTTTGTGAAGTAGTGATGTACGGGCCCGGCTTGGCCTGAAAGCCCTGGCTTAGGCCTGGCCTGGGGAGGCTTGGGCTTTGAAAAAATTCAGGCCGAGCCGTGGGCCAAAGCCGTGGCCGGCTTGGGCTCATTCACGGCCTTCAAGAAAGAAAAGAGTCTATATTCAATTCAAGTATACTAACATTAGTTGTCATCTGCTGAATCAACATCAGACCCTGACATATCATCGTTGTCACCTAAAAGCAGTGTATCCCACCCCTTGTCATCTGCTGCTTCGACTTCTAACACCTCAGCCTCATGTTCGGAGTCTTTGGTTTCCTCTTCTACAAGGGAAGATGGGCCAGGCTCCCGGAATAGAAGATCATTACGGAGAGAACACTTGACACATTGTAGTGCCTCGACAATATCTCCTTTCAACCAATTGCACCGCTTGCTGATTGTGATCCCACCTTGCGAGAATGCTCGCTCACTTGAGACCGATGCTGCCATAATAGACAGGTAGTCTCTTGCGAGCGAAGCCCACACTGGATATCTCTGGCCATTGATCTTAACAGAAACAACAGTCAGTCACAAGAAACCTCAAAGCAAATGAAAGGCATTTACACCCCACCATTGAATAGTAGTCATACCCGCTAATTGAACCGCCTCAATAGTTTTAATGTAGCTTGTAAATTTGGCCCTCCATGGTTTTGATGGATCACTAGGAGATGTGGCGCCTGGTTCTGGCTCGGCGTCATCCTCAGAGTCACTCTGGACCTCCCGAATGAGTTTCTTGAGGCCACTAACCTTGCTTTTCGTAGTTGTGGGCTGTGACAACACCCGATCTTGATGTAGCTCGTCATAGCGCTGTTTGAACACATTCTCGGCACACGTAAGCACGTCATCAAGCAAGTTTGACGGCCAATGCTTTTTGAAGTAAGCAATTTTTGCTGTTGGATCAAGTACTATATCAGATGTTAGAGTTGCACTGACTGAAAGAGAAAATGACGAACACATAGCAATGATGTGGGCTGGAGAGTTTGTAGTTCTCTCATAATACTCATCTAGCTTTGTTGCTGCTGCCTTCAGTGCATGAGCAAACCAAGTATACTTGGGCTCTTCGGCTCGTGAAGATCAAGATTTGTGGAGCGTCTCCAGGGCAGGTATCGCGAGATGGAGAGTTGATCCTCGATCAGATGAGAATGCTTGCTGGGCGACGTCGGTGTATGAAAGAAGGTCCGTGAATTGACTGACTCATGTCCATTCAGCAGCTGACAGTTGCAGAAATTTGATTTTGGCCCGTTTTTTGAGACTGTGTTCTTGACACCCCATTTTGTACACGAATGTATCCACATGCTACAGTGAGTAAGAGTGAGAATAAACAAAGTATGATGATATATCAAATACACACCTGCTTGTTCGATTTAGCACAATTCAGCATAATGTAGGTGGATGACCAGCGGACTTTCATGTCGATCAATAGCTGTGTCGGCAACGACACATTGGCTTTGATTTGTATGTTCCTGTATAATTCTTTTCGTTTTGCCGATGAATGTTCTTTCACACAAATGCTGCGAACAAGGCTAATCTCGTCCCGATCAACCTTAAGAGACATGTCTGGTTCATGGGTGTGTGGATCGTGAGGATTGTAGTGAACAGATTTGCTGTATGTGCCAATGAGCTGCTGTGTGCCAAGATTGATAACATGCACTAAACAGCTGTTGATATTGTTAGCAGTTCCATCAACGAAATAACAAAACAAACTTACTTGATCTTGCGCTCGAGCCATGGAAAAACCTTCTTATACTTCGCCTCGTATAACTGTGCAAACTCTTGCAGCATAGTGTTGTTGTTGGCTGCGTTGTCGCATGTAATATGACCAATCTAGTAAGTAGACATGAGCTGTAGCATTCGAAAGGAATTAATATAACATACTTTATGTGTAACACCAAGGCGATCAAGCACTTTGAATAACGTACCACCCAGGCACTGGCCATTATGAGCGTTGTTGAGCTTCGTAAAACCAAGCAACACATTCCCAGGTTCCCACTGCATCGGAATCTTTTCTTCGATCCAGTGGCCAGTGACTGCAAAATAGCCGTCTGTGTTGTCAGCCTGCCATGCGTCACATGTAACGTTGATGGTGCCACTGACAGATTCACTCTAGAATATGACATTAGATCATAACAGACAATAGTGCGGGGGACGACAACGTACATTTAACTTCTTTCTGAGTTTGGTGAGATGGCTCTTGAACATATGCATAATTTCAGCGCGGGTTGCTTTGTGGCCTGGAATTTTGATGCCCTGTATGGCATGTGAGGCAACGTCTACCATCTCTTTGAATCTCGGGTGTTCAAGAGCCTGAATGGGCTATAATGATTGTTAGTACTATGCAGCCAGATGATATGAAGAGTTTACTTGATCCGTAGCAATGAGCCACTTGATTGCTGCCTTTCTGAAAAGCTGGTCGGAGTAAGGAACAATGCGCTCCAACAACTTGCGCTCAGTCATATGGGTATTGAGCGTCTCCTGCGCTTGTGCAGCTTTCATTTTCTCTGCAGCAATATCACCTGGCAATTTGGACAGGAAGGCGTTGTCTTTGACCCATTTGTGATATTTACCCTGTACATGTTATTTAGATATACATTGATAATAATATGAAGATGAAAACTTACAGCAAATCTAGCTTCAGCGTGACGACGCAGTGTTGAGGTCTCATTTACAATTATACAACCATTCCTACAAGTGATTAGGCAATGTTAATGACACAACAGCACATGGAAATGATAATGGAATGATGTACGGACAAACAATGTACGGACAAACTTTGCACTTACGGTGTTTTTTCACTGTACCATTGGTGTTAGTCCGCTTGAAAGGTTTGCTGAAGAAGTTGTCGATATCACAAGTCCTATCCTCGTGTGTGGGACCAGACTCGTCAGTGATGGGCTGTACGGCAATATCTATGAGAATTCCATCCTCGTCCACATCTTCGTGGTCTTTGACAGTAGCTTGCTGATGCTGGCGGGCTCGTTTGGCTGACAGTTTCAGGTGAGCTTTGTACACACTCTCTTACATGAATAGATAAACTTACATTTGGGGTTTGTCCGCGCATTTTCATGTTCCTCGTCACTCGTTTCATAGCCTTCTTCAGCATCTTCGGTGCGTGATCGTTTGTTAGTAGGTGCAGGGACAGTGGGTTCAGGAGCAGGTGGACTGGGTGAGTTAGTGGGCTGGTGATTGTTGAAACCATGCTTTGCGGCCTCTGCCACACAAAATGCATTGATGGCTTTGGTTTGAGATGGGAGAGCTGCCTTCTCAGAATGCTCAAGGAGCACAGCAGAGGGCTTGATTTTGCACGCTGGATGCACTGGTCGAGGTTCATCATCACTATCTGAGAGGATTGTTCCTGCCATTAGAATTAGGGATTTGTGAGTAGGGATAGCGATGTACTAATACTATTTATCTCAATAAATCATTAAGATTGTGCCGCAGATAGATGACACTTCAAAGATCTAAGTAGTATCCAGTTCACGAAGCATGACAGAAGGCAACTCACAGTTTTTACTGGCTAGTGTACGAGTATGAGCCGGTGTCAGACACACTGTGCTCTGATGCTCTGATGCTCCTTTTGGCTAAGCTCTGCAAACACTCATCAAACACTCGACTTCTCTTGGGCCTCTATTCCATCGGATGTCTCGGATGTGCTTAAATGTGTGTTGGATTTGCAGAAGCTGCTGACATGCAGATGAGTCCGTGGTAAGGAGGAAGTAGTGCCAAGGATTTCAGTGGTTTTAATTGAGGCTTGTTTGAAGGACCGTTAGAGGGCTCGACTCAGACAAAGGAGAATTTGCAACTTTGGGACTGTCAGTGTGATACATGAACAATTGAGCTCGTCGTT